TTTAATCAACTTCTCCTCACTTAACGTCTTCTCTCCTCACTCTAATATCTCCTCTCACTTCCATCAGTCTCCTCACTCTTGAACTTCCCTCACCAACGCCTCTCTCCTCACTCCTTAATCGCCTCCTCACTTAATCGGTCTCTCTCTCACTCTAATTGGGGTCTCCTCGTAATGCCCTCTCTCCTCACTACTGTTCCTCCTCACTTCCCAACGCCTCCCCCTCACTCTTAACGTCTCTCCCTCACTCTGCGGCTGAACAAAGGGGACATTACAAAGGTAATCAAACTATCCAACCAGGAGCGAACTCGTAACAATAGTTTTAAATTAGACAAATTCAGATTGAGGCGCAAAATAGGTAAACATTGGTTTGGAAATAGAGTAGCGGACGAGTGGAAGAAGTTACCAAATATCATCATTAACTCGAATACGCTGGATAGCTTCAAACATAGGTTGGTTGGATACATGAGCAATAAGGGTTAGGTGCAAATGGGACTGCCCAGTATGGGCCAATAGACCCGCTGCAGTTTCCTCCATTCTTATGTTCTTATGTTTCTCCCTCACTCTGCGTCTCTCAATCCAATTCTCGTCCTCTCCTATTTCTAAGTTGCTATTATCTATGTTGTCAATCAGTGTATTATTTCCTACCTTCCCTATTCATAAGGTTCCTATTAGTTCCGTTCCTATTTGCTTAGTATCCTATTTTTTGTGATTGTTATTCCATATCAGGATAGGTTAAAGAAACTAAACTTGCATTCCCTAGAAAGACGAAGAGTGCGGGGAGATATGATAGAAGTATTTAAGTGGGTGAAAGGAATCAATAAAGGGGATATAGATAAAGTTCTTATAATATCCGAGCAGGATAGTACTCGGAGCAACGGATTTAAGTTGGATAAGTTTAGGTTTAGGAGGGAGATAGGAAGAAACTGGTTCACAAATAGGGTGGTGGACGAGTGGAACAAGCTTAGCAACTTTGTAGTAAGTGCTGGAACTCTGGAAAGTTTCAAAAGGAGGCTAGATAGATTCATGGATGATAGAGAGTGGTAGTAACTCGACAGGAGCTGCCATGCACAGGCCAACCGGCCTATTGCAGACTCCTTATTTTCTTATGTTCTAATGTTTCTTATATCCTATGAAAGTCGTATAGTAGGTCGCTGGCATCTCGTTTTCTATATCTACGTGTCTTGAATGTGGATTTGTGAGGTATTGGAACGACCGCGCGCGCTCGTGTGTGTGTGTGTGTTGTGCAGAAACTCACAACTAATAGGAGACAAATTACCTACAGACACAAACAGTAATGAGCACCTGTATGCGTAACGACAGTCACCTGAATATAACTAATGACACAACTTACACACTAAATCAACAGTCACATAATTACGCGCGTAACTCGGCACTTCAGACGGGTGAATGGACTGAAGAGGAGTAAATAATACACGGAGAGAGAGAGAGAGAGAGAGAGAGAGAGAGAGAGAGAGAGAGAGAGAGAGAGAGTGTGTGTGTGTGTGTGTGTGTCATGTTAAAATATTCACTTTTATAACTTACTCTACTCGCGATAATGTCGCTGTGGAGACTTAATATATCCATTAATAATGAACGTCTATGGCAGTAACAGCATAGAATGACGACTGTGTTGGGAGGAATGTTATATAAGGCGATAAACACAATAGCTCACACTCTTGGTATGTGGGGAGTATCGAATCTAGGTGAGAATTGAATGTTAGTTTCCTGTAGGTCCTGATGTTCCCTTTTAGGTCATTGTGCTGTAGATATAGAATACCTTATTTTACGCTACAGAAGGAGGAAGTATATATAACAAACACTGCACTCGACCACCTTCATTTCCTCACCTGTAATGTTAGGTATAATTCACAGCCAGGTAAACAAAACCAAAAAAGGAAGGTAGTGGGTGTATTGATATTCCTGTAGACGCGTTTCGTTAGCCGTCTCTGAGGACACTAACCCCATTTCAGCGATATACGTTTACGACAACAACAAATCCCCAGCGTGATAATACCAAAGGCTGAAAAGTACCGCAACTAAGGTGATGTTCTACTTAAGTTCCCTCAGGGCAAAGGGAGGAGCGAGGTGGGGAAACGGGGTAGGAAGGAGTGGGTGAGGTGTGACTTAGTGGGAATGGGTGAGGTAGGAAGGGGTGGAGGTAGGAAGGAGGCAGTGTAAGGACACACCTGTAGGCCCTGATTGGTCGGTGGTGTGAGGGTGTGGCAAGAAAGGAAGAGATTGATTGTGTGAAGGAGGTAAGAATGGGATGGAGGAGGAGGAGGTGGTCTAGAGTGTGGGGGAGGAGGAGGTCTAGAGTGTGGGGGAGGAGGAGGTCTAGAGTGTGGAGGAGGAGGAGGTCTAGAGTGTGGGTGAGGAGGAGGTCTAGAATGTGGAGGAGGAGGAGGTCTAGGGTGTGGGTGAGGAGGAGGTCTAGAATGTGGAGGAGGAGGAGGGGGAACTATAGAATGTGTGTGAAGGGAGAAAGGCAAGAATATGTGGAGAAAAAGAAGAGGGAGGAGTATGGTAGGAAAGAATGTGTGGAGGGGAAGAAAGATGGAAGATAAGAATATAATAAATGAAGATAAAGGATAAATAATAAATATGGTTTGGGCTGAGGATGACGAGACCCCAGAATAGGTAGTCAATTGGCTAGAAATTCTGACCTGTTTCGACCTCAAAAAATATCAACGTAAATAACAACGGTAAGGTTAGGTTAGGTTAGGTTAGGTTAGGTTAGAATTGGTTTGGTTTGGTTAGGTTAAGTTAAGTTAGGTTATTTAAAACTGGGATAAATTAGGATAGGTCACTTTAGATCAGGTTTCATATAAACATACAGTATACTGTATATATTTATCGTACATTCACCCCTTCATGACGACATCCTGCGAGTTCCCTGGCTGGATACACCACAAAGCCCCATTACATCTATTATTAACTTGTATGTACAGTTACCATCTACGTATAATGATGAATGTGTCACCATACACCTATAGACGCATTACACAGGTAACTTGGAATTCTTATATGTGAGTTGCCGAGGTTCTATTTCTAAAGCATATTGATTGGCTAATAGTAGGCTAGTCAAAGGCCCATACAACCAATCACATACCAGGTATCACGATATGAGAAAGAACCATTTTATACGTTGGATGGTTTAAGATCAAAAAGGTTTATAAAAACAATGATATAAACCTGTGTACCTGCCGAACTAAAAATACCGAGAAACCAATACTACGACACAACACATTCCTATTCAGAGAGAGAGAGATTGGTAGAAACACGTAAACAGAATCCCTCTATGATCTTGAAGGAACGACAGACAGTAAAACATAATCTGTGGCCTCCCAGCTACTTCCACTGTACTTGTGTGTAATGTAATAGGGTACTACTGGGGTATTTGAACGTGTCATATGAGTTTATTTAGCAGGATGGGGAGGGGGGGGGGGTTGGGGGGAAGGAGGTATTTGGAACTCGAAAGAAGGATGTTTAAAGTCATATGATGGAGGGAACTTACACCCACTTGGAGTCACATGATGAGGTAAGTTTCAGATCAGATGAGAAGGTAGTAATGCTTATGTGCTTTGCTTTGAATAGGATATAAAGGGATGCTCTCTCAACTAGCCCCCGAGCTTCATGAGAGAGTACAGTATAATCGTGCCAGACAAGTTCATTACCATCTGAGGTACTCTTGCAAGTCACCCGAGGTCAGGCGAGGGTTTGAGAGTCGCTCTTATTCCCTCTAAAAGGTCAATGTCCCCCTTGATGTTATAAACGGATGTATTACGTGTTTTGTAACTTCAAACAAGTGAAGATAAGGATAGTAAACCTGGTTATACCCAATTACTGTGACCGGCGACCGTGCCAATCAGGTTACCGCCAGGTAAGTGATACAAAGAGATGGCGAGGCGACCACATTAACATGTTATGGGCAAGTTGATGCTAAATATTCACGACCTACTGGAGGTGTGTGTGTGTGTGTGTTAATGTCTTGTGGATGATCTTATATTGTTGGCCCTTGTCTTATCACTACTGTACTCTGGGATTAAAGTGTATGTACTAACTACTCAATGAACCGTAAGTTACTAATACTGTCTATTACTGTTATTATTGTTGTTATTATTATCATCAACGGATGTATTAATAGCACTGTTAATATAATTACTAACAGTACACGCAAACACCGGCGGCCATCAGATGTTTCCTAATGTGACGCTGTGACGTCATTAGGCGCCGACGAGCCGGGCCGATGACGTGGCGGATCTTGCCCTTGCTTCTATTATTAGGTACTATTCCCCCCCCCCACCCACCATCCATTCCTACCCTCCTTCCCTGTTCCCGTCCGTCTTCTTTCTTCCTTCCTCCCTCCTTCCTTCCCTCCCTCCCACTCCTCCTCCTCCTCCTCCCTCCTGGCTCCTCCTCCCTCCTGCTCCTCCCTCCCTCCTGCCTCCTCCCTCCTGCTCCTCCCACCTCCTCCCGCTCCTCCCACCTCCCGCTCCTCCCACCTCCCGCTCCTCCTCCTCCTCTACCAAGAACATCTGTCTCTCCAGGCTGCAGTTCCCAGTGTGTTGTTTGTTTACATAAATGCGAGAGTACACAGCAGGGTAGTGAGAGAGAGCAGCGGGAACTGACATCACCATCATCGACTTATGGATTTGTCTTCACCGTTGAGTGCCTGACTTTTATTTTTTTTTTTGGTATAAGTGTCTTGCTCTTTGTCTTTAAGTGTGTCTTCTTGCTCTTTGTCTTTAAGAGTGTCTTCTTGCTCTTTGTCTTTAAGTGTGTCTTCTTGCTCTTTGTCTTTAAGAGTGTCTTCTTGCTCTTTGTCTTTAAGTGTGTCTTCTTGCTCTTTTGGCCTTTAGAAGGTGTGTGTCTTCTTGCTCTTTGTCTTCTAAAGTGTGTCTTCTTGCTCTTTGTCTTCTAAGTGTGTCTTCTTGCTCTTGCTGTCTTCAAAGTGTGTCTTCTTACTCTTTGTCTTTAAAGTGTCTTCTTGCTCTTTGTCTTTAGAGTGTCTTCTTGCTCTTTACTGTCTTTAAAAGTGTCTTCTTGCTCTTTGTATTTAAGAGTGTCTTCTTGCTCTTTGTCTTTAAGTGTGTCTTCTTGCTCTTTGTCTTTAAGTGTGTCTTCTTGCTCTTTGTCTTTAAGAGTGTCTTCTTGCTCTTTGTCTTTAAGAGTGTCTTCTTGCTCTTTGTCTTTAAGTGTGTCTTCTTGCTCTTTGTCTTTAAGTGTGTCTTCTTGCTCTTTGTCTTTAAGTGTGTCTTCTTGCTCTTTGGCTTTATGTGTGTCTTCTTGCTCTTTGTCTTTAAGTGTGTCTTCTTGCTCTTTGTCTTTAAGTGTGTCTTCTTGCTCTTTGTCTTTAAGAGTGTCTTCTTGCTCCTTGTCTTTAAGTGTGTCTTCTTGCTCTTTGTCTTTAAGTGTGTCTTCTTGCTCTTTGTCTTTAAATGTGTCTTCTTGCTCTTTGTCTTTAAGAGTGTCTTCTTGCTCTTTGTCTTTAAGTGTGTCTTCTTGCTCTTTGTCTTTAAGTGTGTCTTTCTGCTCTTTTGCACCAAGGTGTCTTCTTGCTCTTTTGTCTTAAGGTGTCTTCTTTGCTCTTTTGTCTTTAAGTGTCTTCTTGCTCTTTTGTCTTTAAGTGTGTCTTCTTGCTCTTTTGTTCCTAAGTGTGTCTTTCGTTTCTTTTGTCTCTTTATGTGTGTCTTTCTGCTCTCTTTGTCTTTAAGTGTGTCTTCTTGCTCTTTTGTCTTTAAGTGTGTCTTTCTTGCTCTTTTGTCTTCATGTGTCTTCTTGCTCTTGTCTTTGTGTGTGTCTTTCTTGCTCTTTGTCTTTTGTGTGTGTCTTCTTGCTCTTTTTGTCTTAAGTGTGTCTTCTGCTCTTTGTCTTAAGTGTCTTCTAGCTCTTTGTCTTTAAGTGTGTCTTCTTGTTCTTTGTGTATTTATATGTGTCTTCTTGCTCTTTGTCTTTAAGTGTGTCTTCTTGCTCTTTGTCTTTAAGTGTGTCTTCTTGCTCTTTGTCTTTAAGTGTGTCTTCTTGCTCTTTGTCTTTAAGTGTGTCTTCTTCTTGTTTTGTCTTTATATTGTGTCTTCTTGCTCTTTGTCTTTAAGTGTGTCTTCTTGCTCTTTGTCTTTAAATGTGTCTTCTTGCTCTTTGTCTTTAAGTGTGTCTTCTTGCTCTTTGTCTTTATGTGTGTCTTCTTGCTCTTTGTCTTTAAGTTTTGTCTTCTTGCTCTTTGTCTTTAAGTGTGTCTTCTTGCTCTTTGTCTTTAAGTGTGTCTTCTTGCTCTTTGTCTTTAAGTGTGTCTTCTTGTTCTTTGTATTTAGCGGCTAGGATAGACACATCTGGCAAGTTAGTAACGCTGTACCCATACCGGAACACTCAGCATGTAAATTTTGTGATAAACCTTTAAAGCATACACTTGAACACTATATTATTGAATGTGACACTGTCAAAGACTTCAGGCCACCTGGCTTATTGTATCATGAACTTTGTAATCACTATATTGAATCGGGGGTGCTTGGGGACATTCTTGCTGTTTATCCCAAATTTGCTAGTCCACACTGATTAGTCTTCAATTAGAATATGACGTCCAATGTATATGAACCACCGTCTTGCATGGCAGTGAACAGCGACATCATCTACATGACTCTGACCTATATATACCTGTACTGCTAATGATATGATGTATTTCTTTGTGTACGAACCTCTGTCCTGCATGGCAGTGAACAGTGACATAACCCACATGAATGAATCTTATATATATATATATATATATATATATATATATATATATATATATATATATATATATATATATATATATATATATATATATGTTAGTGAATATAATGTATTTCTTTGTGTATGAACCTCTGTCCTGCGTGGCAGAGAGAAGTGATACCACCCTCAGTGTCAAGACCTGACTGAATTACTCAGAATAGGCAAACTGTACTACAAGCTTTGTCAATAAATTTGTTAAACTGAAAAAATTGTATTTAAGTATGTCCAATAAGTGTCTTTTTTCTCTTTACAGTTTTATTTTTTTCCTCTTTCCTTTTTATGCTATTCCTCATCCTTCATAAATATCCTTCTCTCCTTCTCCATGTTCTTCCTCACTCTTTCTCTCTCCACACACACACACACTTACTCCTTCCATACTTGTTTACGTTTTGAGCTGTGAAAATTAAATGTTTTTTCCTAATTTCTAATCATACACATGGACTTCCCCGTCTTACTCCTCTCTCCATCACCCCCCTCCCCGTTCACCTACCCCCACCCCCAACACCTTCTCTTTCCCCACAATAAAAATAAACCCCCCGAATGTTACCTAAGTTCCCACCTTCTTCCATCCTCCTCCCACCTCCTATCCTCCCCAATTACTTCAGCATGTAGCTTACTATCCCCAACTTCCCATTTACCCCCCTCTCTCCTCCTCTCCCTCCCTCCATAGTAATCACCAACAAAGTCAACCCCAGTAGTTCACACACACACACACACACACACACACACACAGAGCACTTCCTTCTCATAGTAACCTCCCCACCACTGAATCCTCCCCCATAGCAACATACTCCCCACCCCACACCTACTACCCCTCCTCTCCCTCATCGTGGACGGCACAAACAACTCATTCTCAAGTGTTTCTCTCACACCATCTATAAACACAATACTTGGTTGGAAAATCCCGTCTTACGTTAATATTCCCACAAGTGATAAGAGAAAGAGTCAGGAATCCCAATATTTTCTTCATTTTTTTTTTTTTTCAAGCGAGAGTGCGAGGCCCTATATAGGTTTACGTCAGTCATCTCCCACTCTGGTTAATAATATTTGTATAGTGTTAATAAAACTTGTTTACAATACAGGGTGAAATAAGAGTAATTTTAGTAAGTTATTATTTGAAAGTACTGTATGATTGTTGTTCGATCTGTTTATAATACTAGTTTATTATTATCTGTGACGCTACAGTTTATTTGATAAGTGAAGATTAATTTACGGCCAAAAAGAGAATGGGGATTTTTTACAGCTATTCTTACTGTACTAGTTAAAGGGGACAGTAGGATTAAACAGATATCCTATAGTTACGATAACTCAAACCTCCCGATATCCTACTTACGATAACTCAAACCTCCCGATATCCTACTTACGACAACTCAAACCTCCCGATATCCTACTTAAGATAACTCAAACCTTCCGATATCCTTAAGATAACTCAAACCTTCCGATATCCCACTTACGATAACTCAAACCTCCCGATATCCTACTTAAGACAACTCAAACCTCCCGATATCCTACTTAAGACAACTCAAACTTCCCGATATCCTACTTGCGATAGCTCAAAACCTCACAAATATGACTATGATAACATGAATAAAGCTGGTAGCTATTTAAAGTGATCTTATTGTGGGGAGGTGAAAACAAAAGCGACTCAACACAACAGTCCCAGACAAGGGTGGAATAAATGATAGCTTTTGTTTGCTCTTCATGGCGGTTTTGAAGAGTGAAAAACCAAAAAAAAAAGACAAGTGTTTGATATTTATGTACCAATATAGTGTGTGTGTGTGTGTGTGTGTGTGTGTGAATATGCTCACGTCTACATTCATCTACGTATCTGAATACCAATTACAATAATATATCAAAATAGTGACTTAGGTCTACGTGGCTGTATCAGTGTAAGGGGACGACATACGTGCTGATGCCGGTGTTCATACGTTCCTACGAGACAAATAATTAATATTCATACATGTTTACGATTCAATCTCCTACGTGTTAAGACCGACATGGTTTATTCTGTCTCCCGGTATCCTCAGCAGGAAGATACAAGTGCTTATGATTAGTGAGATGAATTGCCGGCATATCTTGTGTGTGTGTGTTAGCTTAACTGGCAATACGTTCATCTGCAGCTCTCACCCTTTGTTTATATCAAAATATAATATTATGTCGTTCTTTTTCTCCCACCTCTATCTGTTTATCTAAATATCTCTATCTGTCTGTCTCAAACCGTCCATCTTTCTTACTCTCTCTCTGTCTGTCTGTCTTTCCCTGTCACTCTCTTCAGTATGAACTAAATCAACAAATACCTCTCTCAAAAATGGTCAAATTGGGGGACATCAAGTACAAGAATGGTTGGTAATTGTTAGGTGGAGAATACTGGCCTCATATTACCACCCATTGTCGTGTGGGGAATAGGGTCTTCCTATTACCCATAACACCCATTCGTTGCAAGAGTGAACAGTGGATGATGTCTCGTAATAATTCACCAAGTGTCGTGTTTTTTTTTTCCTCTGCTTTATTCCTCTTGTTTTCTTCCCCTTGCTTATATTCTTTCCTTTGTTTATTTTTTTTATTTTTTTTACTTGTCTATTATTTAATGTTTGATTTATTCTTATTATTTTTTTACGTTATTTTCCTTTATTATTTATTCATTTTATTTTCACTGGTTGTACTGTCTTTCTGTTTACAGGTGATATCATCCGTCTTTCTCTTCTCTACCACATATCATCCGTCTTTCTCTTCTCTACCACATATCATCCGTCTGTCTTATCTACCACCTATCATCCGTCACTTTTTCTTATCTACCGCGTGATATCATCCCTCGCCATGCTAGATATCTTACTCCTAAGGTTTTGGATATCTAAGTCGCAGTTCTGGTGGTGGGGGTCAGAGGAGACACCCAAGGCTACACATGATCACTACAGGCAGCCTCGAGTTTAGCCTCCCTGGACGAGCAGAAGTGGAGGGACGTGTAATGAATGGTGAGAGAGAGAGAGAGAGAGAGAGAGAGAGAGAAATCCTCACCCAACAAAGCAAAGACGCGCACACACACACACACACACACAGTTGTTTGTGTGTGTCTGTAGTAAGTTTCCCCACTAATTTTAACAAAACTTATTGTATCTAATGCTTATAATAAAGTTTGATCTATAATTTTGTCAGGCATATTTATAAATTTCTATAATTGAAATTAAGATAAAGAAATTTATTAACCCAGCAAAGTGATATTTATTTTTTAATATGGTTACATGGAGATATTTTTTTCATCCTTGAGCCAAATATTTGAAAGTCTTGAGTAGGATAACCAAATTATTGACTTATGATACCATGATACCGGAAACACTGAACTAAATATCTTTACTAATCAACATGATATCCTAGCCCCAATACCACCTATCTGTTAAGCCATAACCTGCTTCCGCCAGGTGATTTATGCAATGAGGTCATGAACGTTGCCTAATTACTCATCAGTAGTCAGCGGCGTTTACCTGTATCTATACGCAGCAGAAGAATCGACAGAGGCGTCCACTTGGAAAATTACGCATCAATTAAATTAGTAATGGCATCCGTCTAAGGGAGTTAAGCATCACTTAAATTAGCAATGGCGTCTACTTGGTAAGCTACACACAAGTTAATAGCAGCGTCCACCTGAAGAGTTATCCACAGCAGTAGTGACTATCCTGATTTACGCACCATTGTCCAGGTAAACACAAAACACATCTTGACGCAGCAGCAGGGGATATGTAATAATAATAATAATAATTATTAACGGTTTATTGAAAAAGTTCTGCAGCCCGAAGGCTGAAAATATACATTGGGCATAAATGACTTATTACATACATTGGTGGTTTAACAAAAGCCTTCATTAGAGAAAGGTGAAGGAACATACAGTGAACATACAGATTAATGTAGGTGTTGAACAGCAAAAAGGTAGTGTAGTAACTCCCTCCCAGATGGTGTTAGGAAGGACCTCACGTGGTGTAGTAGTTCCCTCACAGATGGTGTTATGAGGGGCCTCACGTGGTGTAGTAATTCCCTCACAGATGGTGTTATGAGGGGCCTCACGTGGTGTAGTAATTCCCTCACAGATGGTGTATGAGCCTCGTGGTGTAGTAATTCCCTCACAGATGGTGTGATGAGGGGCCTCCGTGGTGTAGTAATTCCCTCACAGATGGTGTTATGGGGGACCTCACGTTGTGTAGTTCCCTCACAGATGGTGTGTGTGTGTGTGTGTGTGTGTGTGTGTGTGTGTGTGTGTGTGTGTGTGTGTGTGTGTGTGTGTGTGTGTGTGTGTGCGTGCGTGCGTGTGCGTGTGTGGGTCAAGACCATGCAATCATATGACCGAGTCACCACCACCGTCTGCATACTGATGATCTTTGGCATCCAGGATCACCACCACTGATGCTGCTACTACTACTACTACTACTACTGCTACTACTACTACTACCTCCATCAGTCACCATCATTACCTCCATCACTGCCATTATCATTACCACCCCCATCAACCCCACCAACGCCACCACTGCTACTACTACCACCACCAGCACCACAACTGCTACCACCACCATCACAATCACTGCCACCACCACCTAGACCACCACTACTACCACCATTACCACTACAATCACCACTGCTAACACCAACCCTACCACCACCACTACTACCACCACCACGACAGTCGCTGGCTTGTCTACGCAGTAATAGCCCATCCACTTAGTTCCCTTATTCTTCTAGCTTAGTTTATGACAGTACACTCCACTTGTCACTAGCATCATGATATTTTAGTAAGCTAAATTGTATTTATATCATTGTACTCATTACATGTACTTTATCATGACTTTGTACTCTTTTATTTGTACTTGCAACTTAGTTCATATATGTACTCATTCATGTACTCCCTGGTTGCTTATGTACTTTCACTAGCATTCTATATATCGCATCGTATCGTATCTACCAGCCCAGTCTGCCTCTTCGTTCTATTGTACTCTGAGATAAGCCCTTGTACACTTACCTCACTCTCACTTCATGTACTTGTACCGTTACTCGTGTACTGTACTCGCACCGTTACTCGTGTACTGTACTTGCACCGTTACTCGTGTACTGTACTTGCACCGTTACTCGTGTACTGTACTTGCACCGTTACTCGTATACTGTACTTGCACCGTTACTCGTGTACTGTACTTGCACCGTTACTCGTGTACTGTACTTGCACCGTTACTCGTGTACTGTACTTGCACCGTTACTCGTGTACTGTACTTGTACCGTTACTCGTGTACTGTACTTGCACCGTTACTCGTGTACTGTACTTGCACCGTTACTCGTGTACTGTACTTGTACCGTTACTCGTGTACTGTACTCGCACCGTTATAAGTATGTTAGCCTTGC